TGTGTGTGTGTGTGTGTGTGTGTGTGTGTGTGTGTGTGTGTGTGTGTGTGTGTGTGTGTGTGTGTGTTCAGGTTGTAGCACAGAGGTTACAGGTTTTCTACAGGGTTAAGCGGTGTGAAGAGCAGCTTCATTGGATTTGATCCTGTTGGTGCTTTCATTAGCCTTGTAATGGGTTCGGAGTAAGACAGGAGCCCCGAGGCAAAACATGTTCCCAGCCAAACTGGAGGTGTTTGTGTGTAAAAGAGAAAAGTGTCAGACAGAGACTCAGCCAATACAGAGCTCAGTAAGAAACTGAACTGTCTTTTCCCTGTAGCCAGGAATATAAAATATTTCTTTTCTGGAGAAAATTGAGGTCAAAAATCCTGACATTGACAAGTCAACTCAGCAGAAAAATACAAAAAGAAACCAACTGAGCATTTCTGGATTTTCCGTTTTTTTTTGTTTTTCTTTTTTTTGTTCTGTAATAAACCAAAAGACATTTTCTCAGCAAACATGGGAATCCTTGGTATTATTAACAATATACTCAATAGGTCTCAAGGACAAATCATATGTTTTAAAGCATAAACTTATCGTAAATATTTTGTGTTTAACTTTCAACAGTAAGTGTCACGTTTGAGCAATGCTAACAAACAATAACTGAGCTCTGCGTGGTATTTCCTGCAATGAAACAGTGTTTTAACTAGTCCTCTCACTGAAAATAATTATGTGCACAGCTGACTAAATATAAAATACCTTACTACAGAAATATTGTTAATGGTAAAAGTAAGAGTTTTGTTCACTGTTTAGTTGTGGTGAGTAGCTGCCGTGTTGAAACTCTTTCACTTTCCCATAGGGAATTCCCACTGGAGAGGCGTTCCAGTTTAAATTTGCAACTTGTAAGTGGGAAATTCCCACTTAACCACTACAACTGAGCTGCAGCAAAAGTAGCCAGTGAAAATGTGATGAAATTATGATTTTACACTACAAATTTCACTGATGACTTTTGAACTCTGTACATCTCCACCTAGTGGTGGGATGCCGTCAATTCACATATAAATTAATGAACATGTATGCTGGAAGATGCAGTTTAGGGTCAATGCTGCTTTTAAAGCAACCTTATCTTTTGTTAAAGACATTACTACATCTTTAAAGCTCTCATGGGCCATATAAAATGCTGTGGCGGGCCATTATTGTCCTGTGGACCTTGAGTTTGACACATGCTTTGAAGTAAAAGTTCAAAATGCTGGCTAATTTTATATTTAATTTTAAAAAGTATTCATTTGTGGCACACACAAATGTTTCTGGTTTAGATGATGTTTGATTATGCTACAAGCTTCCACAGGAAAACTCTTCTGTTTCTTAGTCATATCTTAAAAACTTTAGTTGATAAAAATATTTCCTGATCTTCTCTCTGCTCTTTCAATCTGTCAAGACTCTGGATGGACTGCATGTTTTCTGTAATAATGACAGATTTTTAAAATATTAATGATGCACTGGTTTTACAGATACAGTGAGGTAATTAGCATAACATATGTAGAAGAATCTGGAACCTTTTAAAACAAAGATTCAGAGGAATTTTCAAGTGTCTCCTTAAGAGAGATTATATCAGATTATGGTGCCTGATTCCTCTACAGAACTTTGTTTCACAGTTTTTTGTCATGAATACTCAGCTAGATGCAAAAAAC